AGAATAAGAGAGGACAGGCCAGAGCAGGGAGCTTCCTCACCGCCGGGGCCCGGGTCACCTGCTCCTTCCCCGCCAGGCACTGGGCCAGCTAGATCTCAGCGGAGAGCTGCACCCGAGGAACCTTGGCAATCGCCACTGAGAGCCCCAGGTACCAGGGACAGCGCCGCAGCGCGTCCGCTCGTTGCGCGGTGTGACATCACACGACCACGCCAGCCTGGCCAGGGCGCGCTCTCAGACCAAGGCGCCTGGGAGGACCTCTCCCCGGCCGCACGCCATCGCCCCGTAGTGGCCGGACACCGCAATGACAGCTTTAGACAGTTGTAATTCAAAGGTCACTAAACCTGTGCCGCCTTTTAGGGGGGCGGTAGTTTAACCTGGTTGATGACAGAGGTTCTTTAGCAAAGAAAGCCAGCGAGCACAGATAGAAGGAAATGGAAGGATTGGAGAAAACTCTGTGCAGCCCCCAGTGAATCTTTGATTCAGGGCGAAAGTCATCAGAAAATGGCACAAGGGCTAAAGAAAGGTGGTCCAAGCTATCAGTCCCCGCCCCAAGAGACAGCTACTATGGGCGGGCGAGGGCGTGGGGCCTCCCACGCAGCAGCCGCACCTGTGGACAGTCAAACCTGACCCTCATCCAGCCTTCAGGGCTGCACCCCAGGTGTCAGGACACAGGAAGGCTGAGCACGGTGCAAAAGAAGACAATCACGACCCTAGTCTGGGACAGTTCACAAGACAATCATCCAGATATCTTCACAGACTTAAAGTCATGGATGAAGGAAGGAATGAACGCCTGTATAAAGGAGAGGATATACTCCTTTACATATTTGCATATACAAATCTTTTTTTTTTAAATATATTTTATTGATTTTTTTACAGAGAGGAAGGGAGAGAGATAGAGAGTTAGAAACATCGATGAGAGAGAAACATCGATCAGCTGCCTCCTGCACATCTCCTACTGGGGATGTGCCCGCAACCCAGGTTCATGCCCTTGACCGGAATCGAACCTGGGACCCTTCAGTCTGCAGGCCAACGCTCTATCCACTGAGCAAAACCGGTTTCGGCTGCATATACAAATCTTGATTGGATCCTGGTTCAAAGAAAAAGCTCTATGTCATTTGGGGGTCAACTGGGAAAGCTTACATATGGACTGGATGTTGGATTATACTGCAGAATAATTGTTTTCTTAGGTGTGACAATGTAGTGCTTATGTTCATGCAGAATGGACTCAGCAGATATTCTCTGTGAAGGGCCACGTGTCAGGAACCCCAAGCCTATTGATCTACTAGGCTACGAGGATGGACGGCTATGATCTATTATGGCAAAGGGACACTAAGCAAATCAGCACAGGAAAAGGTCATACAGAGGGAGTCCAGGAGACACCGGGAGGAGGCTTCCAGAATCCTCTCCAGGTGGAGACACACAGGCCACACTTACCTCCCCAGCAAGGAGCTGGGACAACACATGTACGATGTCGACTACCAGGAGTCAAAATGGAGAAGCACCCACTTCCTTTACATTAGTGACTACAGGATAGTTAACATTTCCAGTAAGTAGAGATGGTATATGGGCATCAGCATTACTGGTGCCAATGTGGTTATGCCTCCAAGGGGTTTGGAAAGAAATTCACCCGGACTTGTCAAAGGTATCTGATCCTAGATGCATACGAACAATGGGCAGGGCTGCTTTCGGGAAAGATTGGCCTTTCACTAAGGAAGCTATAGTCCTTGAACAGGGGTGGGCAACCTTTTTGTGAGTGCGTGCCAAAACTGGCAAAATCTCTGACTCAAAATGCTTCTGCTTGCCAACCCTAATTTTTTGAGAACATGCTACACCTCCTTGGTATCTCTTGGTATCTCTTGGTATGTATGTGAAGAACCTTGAAGAAATAATAAAATTCATTCAAGCGACACAAATACAGGATATGATGATGAAAAATATATTTATTTTTGAATGTATACATGTACACTGATAGTCCGACAGAAGACTTTATGACTCCATTTGATATTATCAGTGGGACTTCTGCTACTGCATCACTGATGACAGAGATTTTACATCAGGTTTATATTTCGTGACATTCAGAGGAATAAATGAGCTACTACTTTCATCCATCAGGCTACTCCAATTATGAGACTTAACAAAATTCATCACTGAGAACAAAGTATCACAAGCATATGTGGATGAAACGAAAACACTGGTCAAGTCTAGGAAGGCAGAGAGAGTTAAGGCAGAGGCATAGAAATTACTCTTCCCCTCTCTCCTCAATCCATGTCTATGGTCTTTAAGATAACTTGTTATGTAAAATTATTTATTTATCTAAGATGCACCTACACTGAATTTATCTGAAAAATAAAAAAGTCCATATTAAGAAAAAAATTGTTAATGGAAAATTATGAGAGGGTTTCGCATGTCAGCAAAAGTTACTGGCGTGCCATGTTTGGCGCACGTGCCTGGGGTTGCCCACTCCTGCTATAGGCCTAGGATGTGATTACCTGCATGACCTGCCCAGCTAGGTATTTATGATCGAATCACCTTTGCGGTTACTTTCAGGCTCACCAAGTAGCGCCCAGAGCTTGTCAGGTCTGCTATGTAGCCCCTTATTCAGTCATTCATTCATTCAATTATGACTGAATTGTAGGGGTCTCTCCCCCTCCACATGTGGCCTCCCACCCTTCCTTGAATTACAAACCAGGCTCTTCCCTGACAGGTACAGGAAAAGTGGGCCTCTCCCACTTACCTGCTCATGGGCCACTCCTAATGGGTTCCGCACGGAGCCCTATAGAAGGCAAGGCTGGGCCTGCTCCTGCAGTCAGCACCCAGTGGTGGGAGAGGCCCAGCATCCCCTGAGGTCCAGCCCTGGATGGGGGAGGGGGTGCAGCTGGAATGCCACTCCCACCCCAACCTGAGGCCCTGGGAGGCATCTCATCACTGGACTCCTTTGTGCCTCCTCTGCTCACACACCTCAGCCCTTCACTATGTCCCTGGGTCACACACACTGGAGCAAGGTGGGTGCTGGACCAGGTCTTGCAGATGAGAAGTGCAAAGCAGTCCCATGCACTGGGGAGTGAGGCCAGGCAGGCCTGGTCCTGGACCTCAAGATGCCCTGGCAGTCTCTGTCCCCCAGCTACTTCTGGAGCCCAGTGGGCACAGACTTCTCTCCCTCCTGCTTTTGGGGACTCTCAGGTCCAGCTCCCACTCATCTCTGGGTCTCTCCCACCTGGATCCTGCCCTGCAGGGGGTGTGGCAGCGGAGGTCGTAGCTTCCAGAGCTAAGGCCTGGGATGTGGGTTTGCAGCTTCACAGGGGAGGAGGACAAGTCACAGGAAGATGGAAGAGCAGATGTTTGGTAACCAGCTGTCTGCCCTGCCATGCAGGTGAGTCTCAGATTAAAAAAAGTTATCTCTGATCTTTGCTCTCTTTCTGAACCAGGCTCCCTACCTAAATGATTTTAATATAATCATTTTATTTTTGTTCCCCCCTTTATTTTAGAGAGAGGAGGGGAGAGGGAGAGCAAGAGAGAAACATAACGTGAGAGAGAAACATTGATCAGTTGTCTCCAGTTTAGAGCCCCAGGGGTAATGGAACCCGAAGTTGAACCCACGACCCTTTGGTGCACAAGAGAAAGCTACAAAGGACTGACCACCCCGGCCAGGACCTTCCCTGAATGCCATGAGGGAGAGGTGGGAGTCCTCCCCACCCCTTGGCTGGGTCTTGATCGCCCTCCGCTCAACATAATCCACAAGCGAAAGTGGCACCTTTTGGAGGCGCGCAGAGCGGATACCTCCCCCGCGTGACTCCGCGGCCAATAAGACCAACACCAAACAGGGCACACGCACTGCAGCGCACGCCAGCGGTCCCCAGGCGGCGCCCTCCGCGGGACCAGGTTGTACAAGACGCCGGTCCCGCGCCCAGTTCCCCCCGCCCTACCGGACTCGTGGCCCGCACCCCGCCCCGCCCCACCCCACCCCAACCCTAACCAGAGTTGGCGCCCGGGCCCTCCAACCGGACCGCCCTCCCCGCCCCCCGTGTTTCCGCCCCGTGTCACCTGAGCCCAAGACTTAGGACAGAGGGAGGGCCCTGCTCACAGTCAAACCCCTCGCTCTGCCTTCGCTGCTACTCTCACTCTGTGTCCCCTGCTCTTCCCTTCTGTGCCTGCAGCTCCCTGCCCGCTGCTCCGCCATGAGCGCTCCCGTGGTGCTGTGTGGTGGGACCTCCGAGACCCGGCCCGCCACTGCCGAGATCCAGGCCATCGCCGACAAGGTAGGCGGCCCGGTCCCCCGAGCCCGGGTCGGGTCCCGCTCTGTCCTCACGGGGCAGCGCCCGCCGGGACGCGGAGGGTATGGACGCTGGGACAGGGACCCTGGGCCTCGGCGTCTGGAGGGAAGGGCCTGGTGTGCTTGTCCTTCGGCGGTTCCGGTCAGTGAAGCTGGGGAAGGGTCTGCAGGGGTCCTAACTTCCGCCCTGCCTTATTCCAGTGCTCCTTGTGCAGGTAACACAGAAACAGACAGCAGGCTGGGATGCAGAGGCAGAGCCTGGTTCAGACCCTGGGGAGCCCTTGACTCCTGTGCCTCAGTTTCCTCCTCTGTAAAGTGGGCATCACTGGGGGGCCTTCACCGAAGGTTCTGGGGAAGGTGGGATGGTGGGGCCACAGGAAGGCTCAGGTTCTGAGAAGACCCAGAGTTCAACAAACCTGCTGCTTCCCTAACCCCGTGGTGTGCAAAGTGTGGCTCTAGAGCTACATTCGGCTCTTTGGCCCCCTGAGTGTGGCTCTTCCTAAGCCTTGGGACTACCCTATTTAAGTTAATAACAATGTACCTACCTATATAGTTTAAGTTTAAAAAATTTGGCTCTCAAAAGAAATTTCAATCTTTGTCCTGTTGATATTTGGCTCTGTCGACTAATGAGTATGCAATCACTGTCCTAACCTGATAGAACCCCCCCAACCCACCCTCCCATTTGCTCAGGAGGTTTAAAACATCTGACCACAGTAAAGGACAGTGAGTCAGTCCCATGAGACTTTGAAAATGAGGAATCTGTAGGGACTGCGTGGTGAGCCAGTTGGGCAAAGTTCCTCTCCCACGCGGCTCCGGAGGCCAGCCTCTCCCGAGGTTCCCAGGTCCCAGGCCTAAGGAATTCCTCACTTGCTGCATGAACTTTGAATGTGCATCAGCTCAGCAGAGAGGAGTGGCTGTCTTGGGCTCCTTGACGTGTTGCTGGTCTCACTTGAAAGTGACAAGTAAGAGGGCGGTGACCATGGCCACTGGGAGGCAGTTCTTGAGGACGGAGCTCTGCCTGTGGCTCCTAGAGGACAGGGCAGGGACACCCTCTTGCTGCCTCGGGTTCTGACTCCCCCAGCTCTCTGGGCTGCAGGTGTGGAGAACAGGCCAGAGAGGGAGCCCTGGCCAGAGGATGTCAAAGTCCCCAATTCTGGCTCAGCCTCCTCAAGTAGTGCCCACCAGTCCGACCTGGGCCTTCCCTGGCCCTCTGCAGTCTCCTGGCCCCTTGGGGGTGGTAACTGGCAACTTCCTCACCATCCCCAGGCCTTTCGTGCTCCCCTTGGCTCTAGTACAGCCCGTCTTTCTCCCGGTCCACAGTACTATCAGTGAACTGTCACACGGGCAGTGCCTGGAGGCTGCCACATGCCCAGTCCCATCGCCTGCATTTGGGTCTTCTCACCATTCCTGCTTTCCTGCCTCCACTCCTGAAACAGGCCAAGAGGGAGGCCATTTCTTCCCAGACTCCCATGTGCGTTTGTGTGTGTCACTCATCCCCGTTGGCTTGTCCACCGTCCGCAGGGTCAGATCCCTGTGGACCAAACATGGCACCTTGCACGACAGGTGAGCACTGAGACACAGGTAGGCCCACAGTGAGAACCCTGCCAGCCCCATGCCGAGGGCAGAGGAGGGGCAGGAGGGACCTGCCTTCTCCCTTCCTGAGCATCCCACCTGTCCTTAGCTGCTGACTGCATTCTCCCTCCATTCTTATCCCTGGTTAGGGCCCCTCCCTGAAGGCACAGGCAGGCCACAGGCCTTGTGCCGTCCAGGAGTTTGACAGGCTTGGTCCTGCATTGCGAGGAATAATCTGTAAAGTGTGGGCCTTAGAGGTCAGTTTGTAACATTTGACATGAGGCCCCAGTTCCTGTGTCAGTCACTCTTGCAGGAAGAAAGACACTGAGTTCCCCTCTCTCCTCTCCCCTAGGTGAAGTCCCAGCTGGAGGAGAAGGAAAACAAGAAGTACCCCACTTTCAAGGCCACAGAGTACATGAGCCAGCTGGTCGCGGGGACTAACTACTTCATCAAGGTGAAGTGTCCGCTACAGGGGTGCTCATGCAGACATGGGGAGATGGGGGACTTACAGGGGTCAGGACAGGGGTGCTTAAGGAGGTTCCTGTAGCCCTGGCTGGTGTGGCTCAATGGATAGAGCATCAGCCTGCACACCAAAGGGCCTCGGTATTGATTCCCGGTCAAGGGCGGGTACGTGGGTTGCAGGTTGGATCCCTGGCCTCAGTTGGGGAGCATACAGGAGGCAATGAGTCAATGTACCTCTCCCTCTCTCTTTCTCTCTAAAATATCAATATAAATGTTTTTAAAATAATAAAATAAAAGGAGTGTGCATGCACTCCTGCAGGCTTCCATAGAGGAGAGGACTGAGCCTTCCGGGCAACTAAGGGCTCTGAGGAGCGGATGTAGCGTGCCAGGGGTGCTGGCTGGGGTGCTGGGCATCTGCTACGCCCGAAAGAGGAAGATGGGAATGTCACCACCCTAGTGGCTGATGCCCTGAAGGAACTCGGCCTCCAGGCTTTCAGGGCCTTTCTCACACAGTCCGCCAGGCACAGGGACTTGGGGTCAGAGGCAGCACCTGCCCCCCTCACTCGACTCCCTCTTTGCAGGTTCAAGTTGCAGATGATGACTTCGTGCACCTTCGAGTGTTTCAAAGTCTGCCTCATGAAAACAAGGCCTTGGCCTTGGACAGTTATCAGACCAACAAGACCAAGCAGGATGAGCTGGCCTATTTCTAGCTCTGGATTTTGAACTGAACCTTCACCACGTGGTTCTCTGTCACGTGTTCGCGTGTCGGAGTCTGAAATGAACGCCGTCTCTATGCTGTGCCACTTTCACTGGAGGGGCGGCTCTGCACCAATCTGGTGTCTCTGCTTCTGACTTTAACAGCGTGATTTTCCTCCCAACCAATGATCTTAACTAAATTGCTTTCCAAGAGGGCTTAGATGATCCCTAAATAAATACATTTTTAAGTTTTTGCAAATTTCCTCCTTTGCTGTGGGTTTTGTTCTTCATCTGAAACCACAACCACCATATAGACGTGTTTACAAAGGTCTTTCACGGCCACGCCCTGGGCCTGAGACCCTCCCCCTGAGGAGGAGAGCCCAGCGGGGTTCCCCCAGGTCCCAGCCAGTGGGTGGTGAATCCTGGGCCCCAGGAATCTGCTCCAACTACAGGTCTGGACTCTGCGTCCTGTCTGCAGGCCTTGGTTGCCCCCGTAAGTAAAAGGATTTGAGTAAACCCGGTTCTAGACCATGAGTTCCAGATGTGCTCAGTCACACTGTTTCTGTATCAGCCATGACACGGCAGGGACCAAAGTGTTGCTGAGACCAGCTGCACAGCTGCTCAGAACTGGCGGCCTGGGAGGCGGTGCCTCTCATCCCCTTGGCTGTGGGCACCTGCTCAAAGCCTGAGCCTCTGGAAGGGCCCGTTTCAACAGGGTCCTGCCCGTCAGTGTGGTCAGTGCCTGGTTGGTTTGCCATGTGTTTGTGTGAAATAGATTAAAAAGAGGGCCCCTGACATCATAGGAGGAATGACTGTTGGGTGAAATTTCTATCTGTGTGGCTCAGGGTCAAGGTAATATGTGTTCCTGAGGGTTAATGTCGGTCTGACATTCCTGAACCTACTCAGCTCCCCTGGGGCGTGTGGCGTTTTGTCTGCGTCCTGAGGTCATGAGGAGAGTGGAAGGGTGGGCGGTGAGCATGCGGAGCCTGGAGAGCGGCAGTGAGAAATCTCTGCACAGTGAGCTGTGTGCGTCCCCGTCCCTCCATGAACTGGAAGAATAAAACGTTCATAACACCCTCTTCGAGTCAAGCAACTGTGCACTGAACAGAAGATGGAACACAGTTCCCACCTGGGACTCTCAGGGACCGGCAGGGGAGACGGCACGGAGGGGGCTAAGCAGAGCTGACAGCCATGCCCTGCTCCGCCTGGTTAGAAATGGGTGATTGCTTAATGGGTGTGGGTTGTGCCCAGGGTGATGAGGCATCTGTGACAGGAAAGGGGAGGCAGTTACACAAGGCTGGGAGGTACAAATGCCCTGGGCTGTGCAATTGAAGTGACTCAGGTGTACTTCCTTCCTGTGAATTTCACCTCACTGAAAACTTAGCACAAGACAGTCAACCACAGCCAGTCTGGGGGACCCCTTGGCAGAGGATTTGGGGAACCAATGCTGGGCTTGCGCTCTTCCATGTGCCCAGCAGGTCGCTGTGGGAAGCTGCCTATTGTCTTCACTAGCAGAGAGCTGTGGACAAGGAACCCGGAAGGTTGGTGACCCTTGAAGCCCTGGCAAGGGCCAGGGCTGTGCACCCACTGTTAGTCCAGACAATGGGAGCTGAAGCAACTTCCCCATTTATTATTATGTAAATCCTTGCTGATGGGCTAGTCCAGCCGTGAGCAAACTATGGCCTGCGGGCAGGATCCTGCCGGTTCGGCAGTTCTATCCGGCCGGCCCACGGAGCTGAAAGAGCGGAGGGTTCTCTTGCTCTCCCCTCCGCTCCTTCACCAGCAGCAGTGTTAACATGGCAACGACGGAAACAAGGCCGAAGCTCCTTCTTCTGAGTGGGCGGAAATCCGCCCATTCAGTAGAAGGAACAACCCCTCAATCTTCCAGAGGCTCCTTGTAATGCCTGCGGACGCGTCTCCGGACATCACCCTGGGATGATATCACCATTATCGTGGTGATATCGTGGTGATGTAGGGAGACACGCCCCTGGAGAGCACAGTATCAGAGCCTTTCTGAGGTAAGATTAAGTGTTTACATTCTTCTTTTTTTTTTTTAAATATATTTTATTGATTTTTTTTTACAGAGAGGAAGGGAGAGGGATAGAGAGTTAGAAACATCGATCAGCTGCCTCCTGCACACTCCCCACTGGGGATGTGCCCACAACCAAGGTACATGCCCTTGACCGGAATCGAACCTGGGACCCTTGAGTCCACAGGCCGATGCTCTATCCACTAAGCCAAACCTGTCAGGACTACATTCTTCTTGTTAAAATGTTTGAAATGAGTAAAACTATTGAAATAAAAAAAAAAAAAGACCATACCCTTTTATGTAATGATGTTTACTTTGAATTTATATTAGTTCACACAAACACTCCATCCATGCTTTTGTTCCGGCCGTCCAGTCCAGTTTAAGAACCCATTGTGGCCCTCGAGTCAAAAAGTTTGCCCACCCCTGGGCCAGTCTGCCTGGTTACTGGAAATTGTCCACCTAAGGGCTATGGGTCTATCCCAAACCAATAAAAGGTTGGTGAGGCCTGAGCACCAGTGGAAGTCCTTCCCCTTGAGTTGGACTTGCCCACCTGGCTCCCCAATATTTCCAAATAATTTCTTTTTTCTTGACAGGGCAGTTATAACTTTATTGAGGTTCTTTGTAATTAAATGCTTCAGAGTAGAGACCACAGTCTGCAGGGAAAGCAGCCTCCTAATGTTTCCTTCCAACCACCCATAAATAGAAGTAGAATTTGGTTGATTCCTCATCTCCAGTTTCAGTGGCTAAGGGGTAATGGATGGAAATGGAGAGAATGACTAAGAGGCAAGGATGAGGGTCAGTCTTAAAACAGAAAAATCCTGAAGGGCTTCAACTTAAACCAGCCAAAGTTTGTTTTACAGCTGTTCTTCACCCAGTTCCAGCCAACCAGGAATAAGTTAAATATCATTTTGCCACCTCAGCTAATGACAACAGTAGCAGCTTTCCAGAATTTGGGCCTAGTTTGCACCAGTTGCCAACACCACAGCTGCCAAAATTACAACAGAGATTTTAGAACAGCTCTTCTACCCTCTCACTCTTCTCCACGGGAGGGCTAGGCTTCACCCCAGGGATCAGTCCATCCGCAGCCTTCATTTCCGCTTCTTCTCCTGTGTGCTGGCGAACCAAGAGTCTAGGAGCTTCTTGCTGTAGTGTAACGGCCAGGCATGCACTTGCACCGCCAGCACCAACACCAGGTACATGACAGAGACGGCAGAAAACCCAAAGAGGAAGCGGTAGGCCTTGCCGTGGCGATAGAGCTGCCGTGCGGCAGGGAACATCTCCACGCTGCCGTAAATGAGGGGGCGATGGAAAGAGCCCCATGCTGACCATGGAGAGCACCAGGTAGCTAATGTTGTTGCGGGGGAAGGAGAGGAGCCCCAAGAGGGAGGGCACAATGCTCAGCAAATATGGGTACTCCCACTGATAGGGCATGGCCACCTGATCATGTGACAATAGCTTCAGGTGTCCCACACTCACCTTGGCAACCAGCAGCAGCCATAGGACCAGATGCACGTAGATCAGCTTCTCTGCCAGGCCCCTGCCCCTAGCACACTATACACCCTCCCACATTTTGTAGATAACTCCTCAGGTCATCCCCAAGTAACAGGCTTTGTGAGAAAGGCAAGGAGAGGGCGGGAGGCCGCGGGATCTGCTTTGTGTCTGAAGCACCTGATTCTGCCTCTCAAACCCACTCTGACCGCCCTGTGCTGCTTAGCTGTCCCTGCCTGGACAGCTGGAGAATTAGGGTCAGCACTGCAAGCTGTGATACTCCTACGGGAGGGATGTGGCTGTAGTCAGCTGGCCAGCTTAATAAAGGCTCTTAAAATTTAAATTTTGAGTCGGTGGCCAAGGTGAGCAGAGCAGGGCAGGGCAGGCCCTTTCTTTAAGAGGGAGATATTTGCCCGGCCAGCATGGTTCAGTGGTTGAGCATCGACCTAAGAACCAGGAGGTCAGTCTGATTCTCGGTCAGGACATATGCCCAGGTTTCAGGCTGCATCCCCAGTCGGGGGGGGGGGGGGGGCGTGTAGGAGGCAGCCAATCGATGATTCTCATCATTGATGTTTCTCTCTCTCCCTCTCTGAAATCAATAAAAAAGATATATGTATGTGTGCTAGGGGCAGGGGCCTGACAAAAAATAATTACTAAGTAGGCTGAGGGGCAGGGACCATGGGAGAGAAAAATTGCTAATTATCTCGCTAGAAAAGCAATGTGTTATGATTGGACCCAGCCAGGTGTGACCCTGCTCATAAATTTTATGTAAACTTTTTACCCTGCCAGTACCAGGAACGGCTAATGACCCGCTTTGCAGTTTTTTTCTTTTTTTAAAAAAAAAATACTTTGTAGTGTTGCAGATAAAAGGTCTTGCTGTACTCTTGCTCTGCACTGCAAGCTGTGGGCTCTTATGGGAAGCACACGGCTAGCAGTCAGCTGGTCAGCTTAATAAAGGCTCTTAAAATTTAAATTCTGAGTCGGTGGTCTATCTCGCTGAGCTAACCCATAACAGTATGTATATATATAAAATATATGTATATAATGTATACTAGAGGCCCAATGCATGAAAATTCCTGTAAGAGTAGGCCTTCCTTCCTCTGCTGCCGGCACTAGCTTCCCTCCAGCACCTGGGACCCAGGCTGACTTCCCTCAGGCCGCCTGAAAGCACTTGGAACCCAGGCTGGCTTCCCTCTGGCCCCGGCTTCGTCAGGAAGGACATCTGGAATGATGTCCAGTCTAATTACCATATTACCTTTTGTTATATTTTTTTATTTTTTTAAAGAGGGAGATGTTGAAGGGAGAGCAGTGACCACGGCTTGGTTAATGCAGTGTAGGCACGGCACAGATGATTAACAAAAGGGAATCCTGTGGAGAAAGAATTCCTCACGCTTCACCACGATTGCCATGAAAATATTTATTTGTGGAGAATCATAAGTCAACAGGAGCAGCACACAGACAGGCCTCTACAATGGTGAGCTGCGTTTTACATTTACAAACACGTTCCCACTCACAGTGGGCAGGGCTGGTCACCACGGGGCCAATGCAACCATTGTCTGAATCTCACAGAGATCGTCCCCTCACAGCTTTGTTCCCAGGCTGACACACCCCTGAGAAGCCTCCAGATCCCAGCTCCTTTCCTGGAAGGCCTATGGCAGCGTCGGCTGGGCTCCCAGTCAGTAGCTCCGTCCTGCTGGGCCAGTTTTGCAATTGATTGAAATGCCAACTACCACTCTAGATTAGCA